GCGCCCGGCCGCCGCGGAGCGGCCGCCCCGGCCGTGCCCCGGCGCCGCGCTCGGGGCCCTTTGGCAGCCGGGAAAACCCTTGGTGCACGGAGTGTGTAGCCTGGCTACGTGGAAAATAAGGGAAGCGTCTTAAAAGTCGATCTTTAAATACCTGCGTATCCAACTTCAATTGTGCCTTCCAGAAACACAGCCTCTGCCTCAGCGTGTACTTGCGTGTGCTTTTCTCTGTGTGTTTATGGTTAAAGTGATGACCCGCAAAGAAGTGTAAGTCCCGCGCGTTAAATATGTGATTCTGTGAAGTGCTCTGAGAGCCCAGCTTGAGATTCCCTGTCCCCCGAGAGCTCCCTGGGTCCCCCGGGGGTTTATTTGGTGCCYGTAACTTTGCGGTGTGTACATAGAAGGTGTTTCTGGTTTATATCAGGAGGGTTCGGTGACATCTATCTGATACTAGACGGGTGAATGGGAAGAAGGTCCCATCTCCGGCCTGTGTGCGGAAGCCGGGATGATGAAGGCTCTGCAGTGGGAACGTGCTGTTCCCGGGGTTGAAGCTCCAGCCCGTGTGTGATAGTTGTAGAGCGATTGGAAAGGTTGCGTGCAGAGTTCTGGTAAAGTAAGTGTGAGCCGAGCCACGGTCGGGGCCGTGACCAGGGGTGCATGCTTCCCGATTTCCCTGCGACTGGAAGGGCGAAGGGCGGGGGCGCTCTGGGTGCTGAGGCCGTGGCTTGGTGGAGGAATCTGACCTGTGTCTTCTCCCTTTGGAAGTTTGGCGTTTCATGAGGTTGCATGAAAGCTTCAGTTCTTAAACCGTTTCTCTTCTCCCTCCCCGTTCTTTTAACTCTGTTCCACTTCAGTCTTTCAMGCTGATTGTTGAGGCCCGATATCTGCCTTTTGGATGGGGAAATGGATTCTAGGGGGGCTTAATGAGGATGGGGTGCCCGGTTTCTGGGAATCAGTGCAAGGCTTTCTGAACATACACGGTCTGTAAACAGCAAACCAAGGTTAGGTGCCTGCCAAGTTTCTGCTGGAAAACTAGATGGAGACAGGAAGAAAATGGTGCCCTGCTCTATGCTGGTTTGCCTTTTAGAATCTGAAAGTAGGTTTGCCTTTTATATCTTGTACTCTTTAAGTTAGAGCATTGTTGTGAGATTTTTATTTAAACTGTCATCTTTCTGTTTAATTCCCAAGGTTTACCATTCAATCCAAGGGAGTCAGGGAAAATTAGTTTTTGTGGCTTTTTTAATACGCGTTAAATGATTATTATGAGAGACATGTTTTTACAGAATTAATTTCACTGGTGTTTATTAATGTGGAAGCTGAGGAAATTTGTCTTTACTTACTAAAAAGAAAAAAAAAGCCATAAGAACATCAAGAAGAAGTACCTTGACATTCCAAGGAAAAAACTTTGGGTTTAGAAGCTGCCTAACTGTCCAGGAATGTCTTATCTCTTCATTTACGTCCATCCCATGGAAGAACAAGCCCTGCAATTAGAAGCGTTACCTATACAGGACCTTGCTGTAGGCAACGTGTAGAATTAATTTGGTGCAGTGAAGGGAGCAAAGGCAGGAAGGTGAGATTCTTGGCCCATCTGATTCCGACTGAATCACAGCGGTGTCAGTGCGGAGTACTCGGGTGTTCAGCTGGCAGCCTGAGCTCGTGCTGCTGGAGCAAGGAAAGAATTCATCCTTGAGCAYGGTGATGGCTGGTTTGAGCGAGGCAGGAACACTTAGCTTTGCTGTTCCGTAAGCAATTCATAAAAATAAAATTAACAGGTAATTTGCTTCATTTAAATACTGCCTCTGTGCATAGAGGAAAATTATCTTCCCATTTAGGCAMACATGCAATAGTTTCACGGGCGTTTATTCTGTTCCAAAATACTTTTGGAAAGGAAGTATTTTGTGCTGTTCAGGGCATGTTCCACTGTTTATCTGATGAATGAAGCCCTTCAGAAGCAATGTTTGTGTGTTAATTAGGCTACTGCCCTGTGATAACAGAAGTGGGACAATTTGCAGAGAGGTGCCTGGGGAAACCTGTAGTGCTTGAACTCCAGTAGCTGCTCTGCCAGTCATAATGTTCTCTGGATATTTTTTATGTCAATTTTGCCATTTTTTTTTCAGGGATAGACACATCTCCTGCTTTAGAAAATACTGTTTTGTAAATTTCTGTAGTTAGTGACCGGCCTTTGTGCAAGTGTTGCAGATTTGTCAACTAACAGAGTGCAAAGGAACAGAAGGGTCAGGTGGCGAGAGTAGTACCTAAGGTTTCCTCTTCAGTTGGATGCTCTCGAAGAGATTAAGCTTCTGTCTTCAGAGAACTGACTTTTGGAGTCTCGTGAGCCCTTTGGCTGCACAGAGAGTTGAGAAGAGACAGTGGGCACCCGCCTGGGGACAGATTCCTCCAAAACCTCATGCCAGAGACAGAGATGAAATGGATAATACGTGGTCATGACTGGATGTCACTTGGGAATAGGGTAGCTCAGAGGCCGGATAGTCAGGTTGTGTTCCCATAGTACAGTTTTGTTGGATGAGAGTGAAGAGAATCTTGTCTGTCAGGAATCTTGGGTGGAATTTCCATTTCTCTTCTCCSCATGGAGGGGGCTCAAGTGGTTAGAGCAAGGGGCAACAGGAAGTTAGGAGCCTTCTGTTTTACTTCTTGGTCTGCTGTGGCTGCTGTCTGTTATCTTGGCCAAGTCCGTTTCCCTCTTCCTGCCTGTCTCTCTTCCTGTGTAACATGATGCTAATGYCCCCTTGCTGTGTCTGGGTCCTTAGCTTTGAGCTGGGGTGGAGGGGCAGGCAGGGTCCAAAATCCCTGCTGCTCCTGGGGTCAGACTGTCCGCGACAGGGACAAGTGGTCTCCAGCTGTATTTGCCTGGCTGCTGATGCACAGACTTCTTCAATGTATCTGCACATGGGTAGAAATTCTGGAGGTGTCTTGGGGCAGTGAACTTTTGCATGGAGGAGTGTGGGCAAGAGGTGTTTGAGAGGGACCTGAGCCTGTGGGAATGGCTAAGATTACCCCTTCCCCTTAAAAATAACAAGATTTGAGCAGATAGTTTGAAAGTGGGGAGAAGTTGCTCAAGTAAGGAAGGGGAGATTAAGGAACTGTCACAGCATTAGACTGAGCCAGTTCCCTGTTGGAGTCTCTTTGGGTTTAATGTTCCTTTCGTGTATGTGTGTCTGTCTRTCTTCGTTCTCCTCCATTCCTCTTCCCACCCCCTTCCTCTTCCCCCCTGCGCCCAGCTAGGATGGAAGAATCTCATTTCAACTCCTCCCCGTACTTCTGGCCAGCGGTGCCCACCGTCTCGGGACAGGTAAGATCTTTGTCTTCCAACCTACTACGCTGGCCTTGCTTCCCGTTAGAAGTTCATGTGCCATGAGTGTCTCTGTGACATCTCCCGCTCAGCCACCCGCTGGGGAGGAGCTGCCTGGCGGTGTCTGAAAGCCCTTCTTCCCGCCCGTGTAGATCGAGAACACCATGTTCATCAACAAGATGAAGGAGCAGCTCCTGCCCACCGAGAAGGGCTGCAGCCTGGCTCCTCCGCACTACCCCGCCTTGCTCACGGTGCCCACCTCCGTGGCGCTGCCCGCTGGTATCTCCATGGACTCGGACACCAAGCCGGAGCAGCTGACGCCGCACAGCCAAGCCCCTGTGACTCAGAACATCACTGTGGTACCAGTGCAGTCTGCTGGGCTCATGACAGCAGGTAAGAGGCTCCAAAGACTCCTGGGACAATGTGGAGGAGGCTCAAGAATGGGAGGAGGATGTGGAGATGGGGAGCCCTGAAGAAGGAGGGACACAAAAWTAATCCTAGCCTTATTGATGGCGTGGGCTGGCTTGGCCCTAGGCCCCCTGTGAATCTGTGGACAGTCTTGGCGCTTGGATGTTGACTTCCAGCAGTGGATCCTGGGGATGTTCTGGGGATGGGCAAGCTGCTCTGTTCAGCTTGTGCTCAAATGTAGATTGTATAAAGCTTGTCTCTGTGAGCTGGGGAAGTTGGGAATAACGAGAGACGAAACACCTGACTTCTTCCCTCCTTCTCTGTTTGCAGGTCCTGGTCTGGTGATAACCTCCCCATCAGGTTCCCTGGTGACCACAGCCTCCTCTGCCCAAACCTTTCCCATCTCAGCCCCCATGATTGTGTCTGCGCTACCCCCCGGCTCCCAGGCAGCCCTTCAGGTGGTGCCTGACCTGTCCAAGAAAGGGACAGCCACCCTCCCTGAAGGTGGTGGGGGTGGCGGGGGTGGGGGAGTTGCCCCCAAACCGCCCCGGGGCCGCAAGAAGAAACGATTGCAGGAATCGGGGCTGCCTGAGATGAGCGACCCCTTTGTGCTGTCAAACGAGGATGATGAGGACCAGCACAAGGATGGCAAGACATACAGGTGGGGAGCAGGGTTCAACCATGGCTGTAACGTTGCATGGGGTTGGGGGTATAGTCCACCCTTCAGAGGGGTATGTGGAGAAGGAGAGATCTGTGCCTCTTCCCTGCAGACTCCCCGAGTGTAGATGCTTTCAGCTGCACAAAGAGTGCATTTTTTTTTCTCTAACTGGGAATGTTTGCAAGCCTGAGGGTTGTCCCAAAATGAGTGGACAACCTTGATTTCCTAAACACACAGATACTAATGTTACTAGGTCCGTTAATGGCCAAGATGTAACGGGGGCTGAGCCCTAACCCCGCTATCGCAGCCAGGTGCTGTGGCTGTTGTACTGCACGTTGCAGTTCTGCCTCGTGTATCCGGAGCACTTGAGCCGTAGCTGGGCCCCCTCCCGTGCCTGGCTGCCCTTGAGGGAGGGCTCCAGGCTGCAGTACRCGGCACGGAGCAGCGAGCGGAGCGTGCTGCTGCGTCTGCTCCAGGCTGCATTGCCCCATGCGCTCTCATTCTGTTTCAGCATTCCCCACAAAACAGAAACAAAAAACTGTATTTCTGAATTAGGTACAAGAGAGTTTCTGAGCCTTTAGGGTATCAGATAAGAGGGGGAAGAGTTCTGAGCCCTGAGGTTGGCTTTCTGACCTTGGAGGGATGTGGCCTGAGTTCAAAAGCGAGTTGTAGCAAGTGGAAAAGTTAATTAAGGAGAAGTACTGGAGGGTAATGAGCATGGGTGTGTTGAAAAGGTGGGAACTGGGCAGAGCAGAGGAGGTGTGAGGAAGGAAATGTCATGGACCGTGTTGCTTGGGAAGTGGGAGCGCGTATGGGTGATTTAGGGATRTGTGTTTCCGAGGGATAATTAAGATCGAGAGGAGGCGAAGGAGTGGCACAGCGAGAGACAGGTTTCTCTCATCTGCCCTTTGCACATAGGTAGGGTGAAACAGAAACAGGCTTTTGTCCCCAGTTCTTCTCTCTTCCCTACTGTCTGTGCCCATTGTCCTTCCTGAAGTTTCCCTTTTGCCATCCTAGGTTTCTGTAGATTTCTTTTCCTTTTTTTTCCCCACTTCCTTCAGCTTTAGTTATGTTTTTGGGATGAAATCCTAACAATATGGAGGCAGTTGTATAGAATCAGTGCATCCRTTACAAGGGCTATATTATTTTTAACTCTAGCATTTCAAAAATGTTTACATTTTTAAGTCAATACAGTTAAATGAGTACAAAGCCAGACCTTGGATCAGCCTTTTTATTCCCTTCCCAGTGTCCCAGTTTTTCCACTTTGAAAATATAATCAGCGTATGGTGAAGAGCGGTGGGAGTGTTAGGTAGCTTGCTATGTGTAATCCCACCATTTATTTTGGGCTCTAGCCACAATTCCACACTACTCAAGCTGCTTACAGTCTGGGTTGCTAATTAGGTTGTTAAATATGTATTTACAGGGGACACAATTGGCAGTGAACGCTAGAATTAAAGCTGAACCAAGGCTTTAATTATAGCTCCTTGTTTACTTGCAAATTTGGAAAAAAAAATACCCATGACCAGGTGGAGTGACTCAGCAGAAACTTCATGAACACCAATAGTCTGTGTAACAGCTCATGAAAAGGCCTTGGCAAAAAAGGACAACCCGTGGGTTTATATGTAGGAACATGTAATCAGGAAGGTTTCCTGTGCTCGTGTGCGTTACCTCTGCCACCTGTCCCTGTCCCAGGCAGACCTCCCTGCGAGCAGCGTTAGGGTGGAGACAGCTAAGCTGGGATTCAGTGCGGATCTCCAAGCTGCACCTCTGCCTTCTTCGGCAGGTGCCTCCTCTTTGGCTGGTGCTTTCCACGTGCACATTCAGAACTAAAAATAATTGTTGCAAATGAAAGGAAATGCTCTCTCCTCTTGGAGCTGGGGGAGAGATGGCCTTTGTAAAATTGTTTCCCCATAATGAATAGACTCACAAATCAAGAATTCCTGGGCTCTTTCTGTTTTCTCAAAGGAAATGGTGATCTAGGTAATTCCGCTTACTACAGTATGCAGATATATCTGAGCTAAATTAGGACTATGGAATGAGATTCTTCTTTTGCCCATTTCTCAGGCTGGGGAAGGAGTTGCATGTGGTATATATGTTTGTGTAATTTCACTGATTCTGGTGGTGAAACACWGAGGACAATCTAGTTAGATGCCTGGAGAGAGTTGGACTCTGTTGGTCATCTTGATGGTGCTTTTTTTTTTTGTAGTTAATTTCTAATGCCTTTTGTCAAACTGAATTATTGTTTGTTTTTATGCTTCTCTTTTGGCTCTGTGAGCTTTTTTTTTTTTCAAGTGCCTGGGCAAGTATTTCCCACTGCTGGTGAAACAGAGCAAGGCCTTGCAAGGGCAGCAGTGCAGGCAGAGAGCTCCGGAGGGACTGCATTACAAAGGAGACATCCGTATTGCAGATCAAGCCACTGCATGAGGAGATTCCAGCTGTGGAATAGCGCAGCTCCTGCTGTTGTATCAGCTCTAGAAGGGAACTTGTAGCCTCTGTCAGTGATGTGAGAATCTGCGTGGCTAGATTCTTCTTTGGAAGAAAAGGTGTGAGGCTTTTGCGGACGATGACGTAGCTTGCAGATCTTGGCCATCTAGCTTTAGAATTGGTGTCGCAGAGACCCGGCCCTTTGCTTTGTGCTCTTTGATGAATGCTTGCTCCTACAGGAGACAGCTCCTAAGCCRGTTCTGTGAAGCATTCTCCTCATTAGGAAAATGATTTTTTTCSCCCATTTTACTCCTGGGTAGTATCATTTTAGTCTTGTCTGGACTCAATGTCAGGTGTTTAATCTCCCCTGACATCTTTGTAGAATTCACTTTTTCTGTGAAAAATAAATGGTGTTTCTAGTAATAGGTTGGCAGTGTCAAGTGTGAGCAGCTTCTCACAGATCTTTAAAGGATGCTCTGGAAGGGAGAAATAGCCGAGATCCCGGAGACAGTGGCCTTGGTGTCTGCCTGTGCTTCTTGGAGTTTGTGGGGTGACAGTCAGCTGGCAGGGCTGAGGAGGTGGCTCAGGTTCAGGAGGAGGCCAGATAAGCTCTTTTGGCAAACAGTTCTCCAAATGGGTTGATGTTTTAGAAGAGCTTTTTTGCAGGTATTTTTTGGTGCAGGTATTTTTGGGTTCCCAGTATGAAACTTTGACTACCAGGTCGTTGTCTGGAATGGTTTTGCAAGCTGCCCTTTTGAACCCAGGGCACAAACAGAAAAGTGGTTRGATCGAGAAGGGCCTTGATCATCCTGTGACCAATGAGCTCTCCGTTCACCATGTCCAGCTCTGGGTTCACAGGGTGGTGGAAATAGAAGAGGATTTTGGTTTGGGCGACTTCAGCTGCTAGTGGGGGGATAGGAAGCTTCTGAGGAGAATCTAGGGGAAAAAATGGGCAGCAAAACCAGCTGGCTTGGCAATAAGCAGAGCTGAGCTTTAGGAAAAGAAGAAGCTGGTGCAGACCCTCTTAATCAGGAAATTAGGGAGGCAGGAGGAGCCAGTGGTAGAACRGGTAGGCATGTTCTCAGATTCTTCTCATTCTGAGCCTTTTTCTGCCTTGTGTGGGATTTAGCATTGCTGCTTATTGAACTTCCAGTGGTTTAGAATAGATTTGAAATCTGGTGAGCCTGCTCTTGGAAGCTACATGTATCTCTGGAAGTCTGGCCCAAATTGGCTAAGTTGTTAGSTTTGCAAAGCTGCTAAGCATGCTCGGAGATGGTTTTTAGTTCAGTCGTTGAAATACATGAAGATTATTTCCTCTTTTGTGTTACTTGAGGCTTACATGGCTCCAGGCGCTGGCCAGATTGTCCGTGTCCCCAGAAYAACTAAATTCCCGGCACCCACTCGGAGTTTCCGTACGGAGCGGGCTGCGTGCGCTCTCCCTGCAGCGTCTGCCAGGCMGGCCTGAAGGACCCAACTCGCCTGTCCTGCAGTCACAGCTACTGCCCTTGGGCTTCGGAAGGGGTTTCTCTGCCCRCTCTTGACCACTGCCGCCTCCCTCCTTCCCGGGCAGGGTGATGAAGACACTGCTCAGCTAAAAGGCAATGGGGGCATGCATGGGATATGGGTAGGGATTGGAGCTGATGGTGTCTAGGAAGACTGGAAGTTTAGGTAGAGAGGAGAGGGAAAAGACTAGGAATGTTTGTGTGAGGAGACTAGGGAACGCAGCAGAGGATGCAATGGGGAGCCCGTTTTCAAGGGGAAATATGGCAGAGAAATGCTCRATGGAAGGGCTGGGCCTGAGGGGAGGGGGAAGAAGAGAGATGTGCAAAGAGGCTGGAAAATGAGACGGTGTGTGYGAGTAGCAGAAGAGGTGCAAACAAGGTCATGGGCGGTGGGCAGCCAAACACAGGTAGAGGAAAGAAATGTTGAAGATTTGGAAGAAGGAAATGGGACAGAGTCACTGAAGAGGAGGCCAGGGAGGATGGAGTGCATGGGCAAAGAGGTTGGGAGTGGGCAAAGGAGATGGGGCTTGAGACAGGGGGTTATAGCAGACTGGAAGGGTAGGAGCGAAGTGGAGATTAAGTTTGGAAGCATCAGGCAGAAAGTTGGACCACATTCCCTCCAAAGCCTAGAAGAATTAAAGCCACATTCTGCAGTTTTTCCATATCTGCAATGAGCACAAATACGTGACCTCCTCYGGCAAAGAGCCTCATCCCCCTCTCATGCCATGCTGAAAGAGATGACCCATTCCCGTGGCCGTCGTTTATGCTCTTAGCTGCAGTGGCAGAGGCTTGTGCAGTGCAACTTAAGATTGCTGATGACCAATATGGGTGTCAGTATGATGCCACATGTTGGAATTTCTGTTTGCTTTTTTTAACAAGTAGTTCCGTGAGCAGCGGAACTAATGAAGCCTGGTTTCCAGCGGCTCTCTCCTGTGTGGATTCTCTGATGTCTAATCAAGGGTGAGCTTATTAGCCTTTCCCTCAGCAGGGGGCTCTAATAGGGTCTCTCTTCTTTCCCCAGTTGCATATTTTATGAGACTTGCAGTGACTTTATCTTTAAAATCTTTAACGCCTTAA